AATTTGCCAAAATGACCTTGGATTCAATGATGACACACTCTAAGGTCATAAGCAACAAAACGGGAAAGAAAATACCCAATCTTCAATCTTGGGACAATAAAAATATTATAAGTAATGTTTAATGTATTAATTTCAAAATTAATCTCTACTCCACCCCTCTGGATGACTGATGCTAATTAAGGATGTGTCATTTAAATATGGATATTAATTTGACTTTTTTCACAACAAATGAGGATGGGGCACACTCTGTAAGGCCAAGCTTAAAAAATTCTCATAACAAGTTGCCAACCTGTAATTTTTAGAGTTGGTAAGGGGGTAGGGATGGGGTTTTTTTTTTTGGGGGGGGGGGGGGGCAGGGGTCTAGAATTTTTTTTTAAATTCACTTGCCCACGGGCAAGTAATAAAAGATAGAGAAAATCATCTAGTTTTACTGATTTTTTTTTTTTTTGAAAACATATCAGAAAATCATTTAATTTTACTGGTTTATTTATTTGAAAACATATCATTAATTAACCTAAAACAGAACTCAAAAACAAAAATCTAGAAAAATATAAACAACTCTATTTTGTTATTTTTTTATTGTGTAGTTTTAATGTATACACCATCTAAAAGCAATTATTATGTATTGTTTATTATTTTGTTAAAATATCTATTGATTTAATCACATTTTGACAAAACGTTGTTTTCAAAACATCATTTATGTTTTAAAAGCCATTCCGTAAATTTGAGATCTCTCCGGATTGGTTCCGATATTATACAAGTAATTGGACTTCCTATGATAAGTATTGGAGATTAAATAAATGAAATGTAGCAGACTTGTGCAGATTCTAATACAATGTAATTGAATGTTTATTGTTATTGATTTCTTTTAATAAACTTGAAAAGTTTTGCTGGCTCAGCCTGAAATTTATTACTTTCCCATTCGGGTAAGTTTATCATGAAAACTATCTTTCCCGAGATGAATTTCACTTGCCCAGGGCAGCGGGAACCCCTGGGGGGGGGGGGGGGGGGGTATTTTAGTTTTCAGGTTTTTGTTGGATAACAATTTAAAGCATAGTGATTTTCACAGAGTTACTGAAGTAAATTAGCTCCACTTACAAAGCTACTAATTGATAAAAACAAAAATAAAAAATAGAAAATGAAACTTTCAATATCCTAAAAACTTGAATCTTACCCACAAAAAATTATCTCAAGAAAAGGCTGAAATTTTTTTGGGGTTGGGTGCATTTTTTAAGTGGGTCAGTAGGCAACTGCAAACAAACATTTTTTTTATTTTTGGCCTATTTAAGGTACAGAACCAAGATTTTATTCTATGATAATAATTTTTTTGCACGACTCCAATCTGGTGATAAATATTGCTTGTTCCCTAATGTTAATACTGTACAATAGACAGTTTTTGTATGACATAGTTTTGTTCCGAGTTATTTCTCTTGGCAGCCATCTTAGAGGTCAAACTGGTAAATTTTCCTCTTATATCACTTTCGTTAATGAATTGTCCGTCTCACTCTGTCATCTGATTGCTGTCATGGTGAAAAAAAAGGATGAAAAGAGAGTTTGAGACAACAGAATTACCACTCCTGGTCTTGTACAATCACTAGATTTAGCTATGTAGCTTGAATTACCTACATAGCTTTATTTCCCTACATATACCTGAAGTAGCTTTATTTAGCTACTAAATCAAACTTATTTCTTAAATTAGCATTTTTCTAGAAAGTGAAGAAAACTGCACTTTGATGCAGTGATAGTTTTCAACTTTGAACTCATCTGAAAACAATTCATGAAAAAATCACTCTTGGAGATGTGTCTTTTTCTGCGCAATTGCAATCAATGTTCTAAAAGTTTTGGGGCTATATACAACAGTTAATTTGTGACCTAACAGTTACTTCTTGAGTGAAATAACAAAGAAAACCAGTTTTGGTTAACATGAGCACAATGTGAAGTAATCATACTTATCCATGCCTCATCGCACACAAGGTGGTGTACAGTTACTCAAACAATGATAAATCATATTTTCCTTTAAAGTGTTCAGATGCAGCAATGTTAAAACTATCTCTGCTTTAGATTGCTTTTTAAATAATACAGAGAATAAATATTAGTAGACATTTACTTGCGAATTTTTATCTTTTTTAAAATAAGATGCAAAATTGTCAATCTAATTAAAATTAGATGTCCCGAATCCGCTATCGCTTCTCAAACATCTAACAACATCCCATTCGGGGTCACGTCAGAGCGACCTTTCGATTACCCAATGAAATCGCCGTCGTCGAAATCTTGGCTTATAGTTCGGATGCGTTTCTTTTTTTTACTGCCAAACCTAAACGCCCGAGAGGTTTCGTAGTAAACAAAATATGCATGGTAAAGACCGTGCTATATATGAATGTGACTTGCGGGATATATAGTAGTTTGTGCATTTTCGTTTGCGTTATTCAGGTAAGAATGCCAGATTGGCGGACTAACGTTCAATTTATACCAAAATTACTTTAATTCAACGTAAGACAGTCTACTGAGCATCAATAATATAGAGATGTAGCCGTGGAACTAATTTTAGAATTGAATACAGAAAGTTGAATCTGATTGGCCAAAATATTTATGTTTATTCATAATCGAAAGGTCGCTCTGACGTGACCCCGAATGGGATGTTGTTAGATGTTTGAGAAGCGATAGCGGATTCGGAACATCTAATTTTAATTAGATTGCAAAATTGTGAAAAGTTGCCTTGAAATAGCTAAATAAAGCTACCTGAGGTAGGTAAATAAAGCTACGGTAGGTAATTTTAGCTACGTAGCTAAATGTACTGATTTTACTGGACCTGACATTCAGAGAATATACAGACTTGGGGGGGGGGGGGGGAAATGTAGTCTACCTTTCCATTTAACTTAGTAAAAACCATAATGATGTTAACATTTTTATAGCGATGGAGCGATATTATGAGACACCAGAAAACTGCAGTATAATCGCGGATACATTATTTTTTCTCCGAACAGGAGAAAGATGTAGAGATGCTTGCGATTGGCCTCCCTAACGGTCACACCTTCTGACATATAACGTAGATACAATACATACACTATTTTTTCTCTCCGAACAGGAGAAATTTCCTCGCCGTCTTGAACACTGCACATGGTCTAGGTATATTGGTAATGACGAGTGATGAAATTTTGTGTTTCATTCTCAATGTAAAATATTTGCTTGATTTGTCGACTTAAATTTTCTCTACTGTAAAACGCATTGCTGACAGAGAGAATATGTAATAATAAAAAGCAAGTCGTACATAAGCCTATTCTTCTTTTGCCCCCCCCCCCTTTCCCCAATGCAATTCCCCAATCCCCAAGTGTAAGGGAAACTAGTCAGGGAGAACATCTAAGCTTGACATTATGAAGTGCATTGGCGGATCCAGGAATTTTTGTCGGGGGGATCTAATACCCCTCAAAGAAAGAAAGAAACAATTAACCTTTTTTCTTGAAAAAAAAAAAAAATAAATATAAGTAAATAAAAAAACCTCTTACTTCGTGTTTTCAAACTTACATGCATAGTATTGAAAAATTAACCTGATGTGCAACAAGTGTTTTTTTTTTTTTTATCAAATTAGTCCTACTCAATTTAAATTTTACCATTGGCCAGGATCAAAATAGTTTTAAAAAAAGAAACAAAACAAAAAAAGAAACTTCATTATTCTTAATTTACAATGATTGACAATGCATTTTTAAAGGAATTAAGATATATAGCAATTGTAAATGTGTGAGAGAAAAATTGCACATACTCAGTGCTACACACACACACACACACCCACCCTCACCCTCCCTCCCTCACACACACACACACACACACACTCCCTCACACACACACACACACACACACAAAGTTCCTGATTTCTTTCTGTCCTGCAGAGTTAAATACAAGCTTAAGGTCATTGTTGCAGTATTTGAAAATTAACTGTTTTGTGAGCTGCTCAATTAAGTCATTACATGACCATGCAGTATAATTGTTCATGTTATCAATTGAATGAGCAAGCTCTTACTGATATAGACTTCTGTAGATAAATGATTTTCAAATGGTACCTGTAATTCGTTATAACTGCTAAGTTTACAATATATATTTTAAAGTCATGGTGAATGAAAATCTCTTTGGTGTAAGCGTCAATTTATTATCAACGTGTTTGTTATAAGCCATCGTCGCAAGCCACGGGTTTTGTGTCCATTCTAGTTTGTTGAAATAGAATGGACACAAAACTTGTTGCTTGCAACGATGGTTATAAGCATGTTTTACAATATAAACATGCTTCATACACATCTATGTACATATAACAATGATAACCAGTCTCAGCTGGGTCCTCATCACATTAGGTTTACTTCTTTCAATTGAAAATAACAAAGAAACAGAAATAAGAAAGATTGATTTTTATTATTTATGTCATATACATTTGCCAAACATTTATTTCAACAAACATTACCTATACATGTTATTGATCTCTCAAAAGTTAATTAACAGCATGCATTAATTACTCCCCCCCCCCCTTCCCCTCAAAAAAAAATCTGCAAAACTGCTACTAGTTTGCTTTTCTTTAAGAAAAAATAAATGTTGATCGTACTCTAGCTCCCCCCTTCCCTTACCACCTTCCAGGTCTTAAATAACAAATTCTACTATTGTCATGTACAAAGCTATCAAATTTTCATTAAATAAGAATGGATCATCTTAAACACAATCATCACAGAGATGTGTTCAAGTGAAATTAACCTTCTTTTCTGTAGGACACATTTTTAATGCATATGTGCATTGCTTTTTAGTGAATTTTTTTTTCATTCATTTATTTATAATAAATAAAATTTTTGTGCATCTACATTTTTAAAAAATGATTTTTGTTCTGTTCATATGTATTAATTAACTATCACTTCAAGAGGAGAGAATGATATGTTGATCATTACAATATAGCACTTGTCAATAATTAATCATGACTCTACATTTTTTTTAAAAGCAGAATAAAATATACACTGAATTATCCAAGAAACTGTACAAATATATATCTAGATTCTTGAAGAATAATGACTTATTTCTTCAAAAATGGTGATAAAAATGTTATCAAGCAAATTTAGTTTGACCGTATGGTGTAAAATTTAGACAAAAATCATTACTGACAATGAAAAATGTATAAAGGAAACCTAGTGACTTATCTATTTAAGAGTTACCTCTCTTTGCTGAGTGACCAGCTCACCTTAATACACTGTAATACATATATGCAGCATAATGCAAACTTTCACACGAGGACATGATTTTGACATGGCACAACCATCGCTTCCAGCACATCAGCAAAAACTAAATGTGCTGTCAGTTTCATTTTAAAATGTTCACCGTTATACAATGTCAGATGCAATTTGCTGAATGTTTTTTGCAGTGTAATTTTTTTTTCTTCAAAATAACTAAATGCTCATATAAATGTCTTCTTTTATAAAAACAAAAGTTCAATAAAAAAAACTGTGACCATTGACCATAACACACTTTTGCAAAATATTTAGCATCTTACCCTTGTTATTGATAGCACATTCTTTGCCTTCGGAAAAAATTAAAATGCAACACGAGAGATGCAGGAGAAATATCTAAAAGTAAAGTGAACTGCTTTGTAATGAGAATTATTATGCTTCCCTATATATATTAAAAAAAAGAAAAATTACAATCTTCATAAACACTTTTAAATGAAATGCGAAGTGCATCCTTTGACTCCAATGTTTATAAATTCTAGGCAAATATAAGTGATTAAAAAAGGCTTTGACATTTAAGTCCTACACTGCTATTAGTAACAGAAATGGTAAAATTAACATGATTAAGAAACTACTCCTTTCAAAAATGAAACTTTTACACATTGTCTAAATCAAACAATACCAAGTAAAACATTTTCCCCCAATGCCTGAACATAATTCCATCTTCAGAAAAAAAAAAATCACAATTTGAAACTATTTATTTCTCTATCAATTATCTATTCCAATGCATGTTTGAAGAAGCCTGCCTCTTTTTATAGGATACTTAATTTATATCCCTATAAATTACATGTACTACCTTACAGATACCTCTCTTCATAAAAAAAATCATTAAATTAAATGTTTTAAGGTTGCAAATTCTTCTTCAATGTTGTAAGGTTGCAAATTCTTCTTCTACATTTACATGTATCTTACTGCATGATGACCATCTTGACATGAAGTCTTGATCTAAATTTTGAGCAACTATTAATAAATCTAATTTGCAGGTGAGTGAAAATTATTTTTTATTCTCAGGCAGAAATAAGAATAAGATTTAGAAATACTGTATACAGGGAAATTTTCGCCCGTTTTATTTTCGCCCCTTTCGCCATAGACACAAGTGGGCGAATTTAATACGGAGCCAATTCAATTAAAAAAAGTATAATTTTTTGTACAAATCTGTGAGTGGGCCAAATTAAAACGGGGCAAAATTGTCTGGTAGTGTGAAAGGGCGAAAATAACATGGGGGCGAAATAACCCTCTATATAACTATTAATTTTAAGCAGCCTGACAGCCAGAGATTTAATTAGTGATTAGTGGAGACACAGTCTGAAAATAAAGAAACCCTCCTAGTCTTACATTTCTGAGGCAAAAATATGTCTACCAATTTTACTTCCCTTTCCACCTATTGCCATTTTTTTTCAAATGGAATGGCTCATAATTCATAATGAAATCAATATGTCATTTTCATAAGCAATTATCAAGAGAAAGTTTTTTCAATAACAATCTACAATCTAAACATATAAACAGAAATTTGGTGCCCTATGAAAGTAGTCAACGGTAATTTTTTTTTGAAATCAAGAAATCATCACAGTATATTATGAACAATTTTAACATGATTATAACAATAAAACATTACATAATCAACTCAAATTTAAACAAGTAAAACGAGTCATGAAGTCAATTTATAACTCATATCTCAAGAACTGCTTGAGTTTTTTCGGCAATGGCAACTTATTTAGGTCTTCTTCACTAGTTAGTTGTAGTATCCTGTCCCTGCAAGCATTCTGAAGAGTGGACACTGGAAAACAAAACAAAAAAATAATATAAAAATTTTAGTAATAATGAATCAAGATTTTATAAAGTATACTATGTAAATGCCTGGTCTTTTAAACCAATTATCATATCATGTGTAAAAAAAAATTAAAATCACCACATCTCCACAATTTAAAATTAAAGTTCCATGGCAAGAAACTGACAATTTGTCAAGCAAGTTTAAACTTCACAATGATATCAATAAACTATTGAAACATTCAATATAGCAAAAATATTCATAAAACATTTTTTTACACCATGTTTTTTTAAAACTTTACCTCCATACAGCTGGATAATTCGTACTTGTTTAGTTGTACCATACACATCTACTACAGCATGTAAGTTCCCCCCTTGGTAAGGAATGTAGCGGGCACAAGGCCCCTGGTCCTCCCCGTTAATGATGAACCTCATTTCTGCAGTGTCACCATTCACTTTATACATAATCCCAATCCTACTGCCTACATCAGTTGGTAACACATTCTTTTTGGGCACATGATATGAATTATTTCCACTTTTAGTTGATGGAAAAAGTTTTCCTAACGGTAATAACAAGCTCCTACTGAATGACCCCTGAGGAGTCTGCACGATGTCCGTATCACCTACGACTGATTGGTAAGGTTCGTCCCCATTATCACTATCATCCTCCTCATTCAGCATCACTTTATTGTGAGATTTAGTCACAGCAAATATCCATGATTTTCCCATGTTATGCAGGTCCGGGAGTGCATACTGCGGTAGCTCAAACTGATCGGCCGGATTAAATTGAGTCAGACCTATCCTCATATGTCCACTCCATCCCCGTTCATTTTTCTCTATCTCGACGAGAAATATTTCACCTGGCCTGAGTGGCTTCTCACTAAACGTCAGTGCATGAGCAAAGCTGGTTTCCCTGTATGCCACCATGTTGTCATGGAGAAGGCGAATGTTCTGTCCATGGTAAGGATGAAATCTCGTCATTGTCAGTTAATCATTATCTACAAAAGTATTATACAATTACATATGTATTGCATTAAAATATCTAGATTATTTGTGAAACAAAATCACAATGACAAATACAAAGACCACTGTGTTGTTTTAGACAGTATAAAACATAAAACAAAATCTTGAAGAATAATCTGTCATCTAAAATAACACATCTATCATAAAATGTTCTGTGTTTACTTTGTACATGAGAATTTCTGCAATGTTTCTGCAATGATAGTACAAGTCTACTGATGCACTATTGACATCAGATAGTTTAAATAATCACCATGTATAATCAGTATTGTTGATATCTGATAGTTGAAATTACTGTGAAATTTTTTTTTTGAGGCTGAATTTTTTGCTCGAAAGGAACACACACACTCAGATTGAGTACTCTAGCATTAAAATATTACCCTACAGACAAGGTTAAACAATAGAATAATGTCTCTTCTACTTTCATTGTAGGCCAGTAAGCCAATCTGTTACCTCTATGATTTTCAGAGGAGAGTTCTAAATGTCAAAATGACTAACAAATTGAAAAAAAAATGAAATGTAAAGTAATGTAAGATTGTCTCCTATGTACAAGATGTAATACATTTGTAACAGGAGAGGAGAAAAATGTGATGGACCAGACTGAGATTAAAACTTGGGCCCCCTGAATCTACAGTCAGGTGCTCTGCCAACTGAGCTATCTTGCCACCGGCGATTGAACCCATCTTACCGCCACACACTGATTTTTTTTTTTTCTGTTCAGAGGCATGAGAACACACAGGGATACTTGTTATGATTAATCTGGTACTTATCTTTTTTACACATTATACAATGATATCTTTCAATAGTGTTCTGCAGCTGATCTGCTCCATTCTGCTTCAATAAAGCGATATGAGACTTATTCTGTGGCGAACACTGTCTTGAACAAATGAATTATTTATAATACTAATGTACACTCAATCTATGATCATATTTAATTGCCACTTTTCTTCTGAATAAGTACAATACATTTTATTTGAACTCCCTAAATTTATTTCTGAACAATTCCACTCATTCTGCTTATTGGAGGTATATTCATGGGATGCACATTCTTTGTAGACATGGTAGAGTACACCTGTACACAGGCTTCTTTAGCTGGAACAGAGTTCCAGAACAGGCTCTCACCACAGTTGGAATATTTCCACTACTGTTGCAATGTAACTGAAGATGAGGAGGAACTCTCTGGCACAATTTTGAAGAATACAAATGAATTTACATTTAAATAAACACCAAATTCATCATGACAAAATATATAAACAAAAAAAATCAAAATTTTTCCATGTTTCTCTTTTTTTTTTTTATCAGTTCAAATTTTAGTGCCACGTTGGGAATCAAAACTCTGTAAGCATAGATTATAATTATCTATACCTGTTTATTTTTCCACATTGTCAACATATGGGATGAATATTGTTAAACTGAGTCTGCAGGGTTTTATTCAGGGCTTGTTCAGAGTAGGGACAGAATATTCAAACTAACAGCTCTTCATTCTGATCTCTATTGACATCATTGATTAACTAGTATTTTCCTACAGACCTAATCTTACAAGTATGATCATTGACGAAGACTCGTCTTCACTCAACATGTTCCGACTACAGTATAACACGCTAATAATGAAGTGCCAGGGAGTGATGATTTCGCTTCGATGTAAGTATTACAATATATTTTAAAGCCACTGGGAATGAAAATCACTTCATCATAAGCATTTATTCAGAATGTTCGCTATAAGCGTGTTTTACTGTAGACTATATTATGAAAGATATATGCATACAACAATCTCATGTCAGATATTTGCCAAAAAAAAAAATCATTGCTAAACAAGATAAAAAAAATATCAATAACCTTTAATAGCAAAGATATGCAATTATAAATAAAGCTATAATACAAGTTTACTAATGTAAAGGTTTCTAATTTATTTCGATGTTATTCACACCTACATCTGTACATAATGCTATTCCTTTCGGCTTTCAACACTGTTCAACTGAAAGTACAAGAAATGCGTATAATATTCATTCATACCTCTATATACTAGACGAATATACAAATGAACCATTTGTTTTAATGCTCATGAGGAAAGTCTGTAAATTCAGCACAAATGATTGGAAATGTGTATTTTCTGTCTGGAAAAATACATTTATCGCATATGGACCGTACCCTATGAGAGCAAATACATAAAATATACCACTTCCGGTTCATGAATATAGTACATCCATTGTAATTGGCTAATTTGTTTACTATTGACCAATGGGATTTAGTTACACACCTACAGCTTGCCGCTTCAATCAATGTGAAAGTAGGAAAGAAACATGTTTGTAACAAAACAGATTGAATCTGAACACAAAGATTTAATACACGATGTTTCATTTGACTTCTACGGTAAACGGATGGCAACATGCTCTAGCGATCAAAGTGTAAAGGTGAAAATTTCATCAAATTACTGTATATTAATAAAGTAGATTGTCATGGTTTAAACAGGTCTTGATTTAGCTATATAGCTCGAATTATTATACCTCTGTGTATTTTTTCTATATAAAAAAATGTCAAATAATCCTGCTATTTTATCTAAAAAGCCTATACCATGAAATAGTTTTAGTACTACTTGCCCATGGTGAAATAGTCGACATATTCACTGGCAACATTTGATTCCCTCTAGCCTGGTTCCCTGTCCCTGTTTTGCTTCGTGTACTCCGCGTCACTAGGGCCAGGTGAACTACAATGGATTCAGGGCGAATCTGCCCTGAATCTGAGCCCATTGTGACGTTGTATTTAGCTGCGCTTCTGGTGTAGAAATTCATTGTGACGTCATATTTTTCTACGCCGTCGATGTAATGTATCATTGTGACGTTTATATTTATTTCCATGGTTAACGGCAACGGCTCAAAAATCCAACAATTTAGCGTGATTGTTCTGACCAATCAGGGGACAGCATAGATTGTAATCCACCTGGCTCTCCTGCCTTGGCAAGGATGAGCCAGGGGACCAGGCTAGATTCCCTCATGTTTCATCTCGAAAGTCTTCTGGTTTTATCCTGATCGTAACATGTAAAGTCTGCTCTGGTATTTACTGACTATTTGGGCAATAGCAAGTTTTTTTACCCCCTCGACAGCAACTATTTCCCTCTGCTGTGCCTCAGGAAATAGTTACTGTCTAGTGGGACAATAAACTTGCTGTTGTCCTCATTGCCAATAAATAGGTGTATATTAGCTATATAGCTTTTTAAGCTATTCAAAATACTATACTGTATTGAAATAGCTTAATCAAGCTATTTTTTAAAACCTGACATGCTCTAAGCTGTTAGCAGGAAATATATGTATCTAAATTAAATAATATTAATATGTTAACTGTGTGACTGTTGGGGTGAGCACAGTTGTGTAAATTACTGGATACCTATTCACTTTTAATTAAGATCCATTTCTTCAAATTGCTTGAGAAATTTGGAATGTCTAGATTGTGACAACACATGACATCATATGTTAGTTGCATTTCCATAACAAAGTCTGAAAAGTGCAAACAAAAATATTTAATCTATCTATCTGCAATATCCATTAAATAAATGTTTAATCAAGGTGAATTTATTTTTTGGTAAACTTTTGTTGTTGCTGGGAGAAAGTAGTTTGTGACGAGATATAGTTTGCAAAGGATTGTGGGGCTGGAGGTTTCTGTAGAAAAAAAATTCATTTGGATCAATGTGCATAGTCAAATTTTCTCTTCATTGTTCAAAAGCTTATAAAAGTAAAAAGATGGCGAACAATAAGGCCAAAGATATGATTCTGTTGTTGACTGCTATGGAAAAACCACAATAGGCTCTCTCAGTTGGAGCATAATAGTTATACATAGTATAATTTTTAAGATTTATTCTATCGGACTCTTTTAAATGGGGATTGTGTTTCTTGTAAACAAATGGCAACTGGGCTATGGTCCTGAATTAGTAAAGTCAGATTGTTAAAATTAACTTACTTGTAAAAGCTTGCTTTCCACCACTCGCTATAAGTACTTTTTTGTAGCTTGTAAATGACCTAAAAGATTGCTTGCATTTTCTAATTATGATTTCATTTATCCATTTTAGGTTTGGGATCTTGGAGAAGATGGAGAATGGAAGTGTACAGCAAGCTGGAAGGTGCATTGACAAATCATCAACATTTCTATTAAATGGAGTACTCATTCAAACATGTAGATAATCCCATACCAGTAGAATTAGAATCAAATTCAAAGATGGAGAGACAAAGTCCTAATATACTGGTTGCAATATAAAAACAGCATTTCATGTTTGTGTGTCAAAAGTAAATTATATAGAGGATATCTATAATGAGTGATTCTGATTAAGATCTAGTATGAAATTGATGTAGTGAATATGTTCACAAGTCTTGTCAAATTTAGTTTGCAAAAATGTGAATATGCATATTTATTTTGTACACCCCTGTAGCCATATGAGAATGCTTGAAATTGTTGTAAGCACAAAGCTGCCAACCCTTACGATTTTGTCGTAAGGCTTATGGTTTGAGCGTCTAAAATATGCCTTATGATTTATCTATCTATCCTTACGATTACCATTTCTTTCCATCAAAAGTTTGAAATACTGGTATTTTCATTGCTGTCCACCTTCAGTTTTCAGCATTATAATACAAAAGTCATAGTCCTTACAGCACTTGCTTATGTTGTCATTGTCTGTTTCCATGCTAACTTGAGATCTAAATCATTTCAAAGTAATCAAAATGGAAATATCTAGCAGCCTGGGGGGTTGGGGGATTTCTAAGCGGCCTCCAGATCTCCTCCTTAGGATTTTTATCTTTATGATGTTGGCAGCTCTGCAAATACTTAATTCATCAGGTCTGATATAAGAAATACCCTCCAATGTCAATTCCCCAGTGTATGTAGGCTCAAACTTTCAATATTTGATCACTTTGTATTACTCATTATAGCATATGAATTGTAAGTCTTGTCATCTTTTTTTTTCAGACACATAGTGGATCAGTTTTTAGGGTAACTTGGGCTCATCCAGAATTTGGTCAGGTGCTGGCCACCTGTTCCTTTGACAGACAGGCAGCAGTGTGGGAGGAGAACTTTGGGGATGTGAGCAGGGAGGGTGTGAAGAGTAACTGGATCAAAAAGAGCATTCTGGTAGACAGTCGCACTGCAGTAACTGATGTTAAATTTGCTCCAAAACACCTTGGGTTACAGTTGGTTAGTTAAATGCTGTCCTGTTTTCTCTTCTTTATCGTACTGCAATTTATCATGAAGTTGAAAATATGAATACCTATTCCTTTCAGTTCTGAAATTATATGATTGTTCATGCTTTTCCATAGGCTGTTTGTTGCTCTGATGGTATGGTAAGAATTTATGAATGTCCAGATGTAATGAACATAAGCCAGTGGTCTCTACAACATGACATACAAACAAAGTTCAAATGCAGTTGTCTTAGTTGGAACTCCTCAAGGTACAAAGAACAAAATCAGAAAGCACTAAATGTTAAAAAATTTCAGTAAGAGGTGACTATTTCTCACATGATGCTGAAAAACTTTGATGTAATAAATACGTGAGGATTTGTCATTTTTATTTTTTTTACCAGAAATTTTTCATAATTTACACACACATATATATATATATATATATATATATATATATATATATATATATATATATATATATATATATATATATATATATATATATATATATATATATATATATTTATGGGTTATATTTCCAATTTATAACTTTCAAAAAAAGACATGTTTTTATATATTTTTAATTCATGTATAATAGGATGCATCCACCAATGATTGCGGTGGGGAGTGATGATAATAATCCGTCAGGTGGAGGAAAATGTCAGGTGTTTGAGTACAACGACAGCACCAGGTATGACTTTGTGAAATCTGATGGTGGAAGATTCATCTCCTCACAATTTATGGGATATTCTGAACATGTTTTGAATATATATTTTTTAAAATGATCATTGGAAATTTGCACCCCCCTTTTTTAGTATATTTAGATATAATGTAAACAAAATTTTCATATGCTATATGGCTAAATCACAGTGGCTATGATTTGTTTGGCTGAGTATTCTACTACAGTTTAGAAAATTTGATACATGTATTGATGTTTAATGTAAACACCCACCATTGCATTGATTTTGCATGTTTTAAGAGTAAGAGAATCAGATGGTTTGCCTAATTTGAGTCAGCAGTTCACAACATTTGAGTTGATTAGCTTTGTTGTCATGTTGTATTTTGACATCAAAAGTGCAAGAACTTCAAAATCTGTAAAAACCGAAGTAATAAGTACATAATATCATATGATGACCTGAATTCAGGCTTGACAGTTGTGAATATACAGTTGTGAATAGACAGTTGTGAATAGCAAAACTAATCATTAGAAGAGCTGCTTACATTTGACAGGTGGCAACTTTTTAAACTTGGAAACGAACATGTTGGTAAATAACATGACCCCTTTGGTAATTATTTTCCAACAGTCTTGCAGACAGAGAAAAAAAAATCACATGATAGTTTTTCACTATTTTTTAAAGAAAATGGACCAAAGTTGAAACAATAGTAGCTGTCACTGATCCAGTACATGACGTGGCATTTGCTCCCAACCTCGGCAGATCGTACCATCTGTTGGCCATAGCATCTAAGGAACTAAAGATCATCAGCTTAACTCCACTTGGGTACTGTATTTCTCTGTGCTCTGTTTCATTTTGATAGCGTGATTTATCTCCAGTTGAAATTCATTTTTGTTGAGTTGTATCTGTGGAGAAAGAAAGAGGATGTGTGCAAGAGAGTTGAGAATATGATATACTGTATACAGGATTATTTTCGCCCCATGTTATATTTGCCCTTTCACACTTACAAATAGTTTTGCCCAGTTTTATATTCACCCATTCACAGTTCTGTTTATGAAATTATACTGTGTATTTTCGAATTCGCCCCATTTTAATATTGGCCCACCTGTGAGTAGGGCTAAAGGGGCAAAAATAAAACAGGGCAAAAATTTCCCTGTATACAATATTAGAGACATATGATATTTTAGAGACATACAGCATATATTTAATGATAGTTTTATTTACTGCAATTTTGTGAGTTTTTTTTTGTTGTCTAAATGCAAAATAAGAGTCCTTGTGAATTTTACAGGAAGGAACTTCAATTACCTTTCTGAAGGAGGATGCATGAAAATTAAGTTCTGAGCATAAATATAATGTCTCAGGGGAATATTTACAGTATAAATGTAATCTATTAAATAATTATTTTGTTGTTTTGTAGCAGAGATTCTGTTATTGGAAATCAGGCAGTGGTCAGTAGGTTTGAAATGAAGCAGGTGGCCAGTTTTGCAGACCATGAATCACCGGTAAGAAATAGTTTCTGAATTAGAGGAATAAATGATGAGAAACAGAGTAAGGAAGGACAACTCTGATGTCCAAAATAGCTTCCATGTTTATAAAATCAGAAGTATTTGAGACAGACAAAAAAGCAAAATTTGCTATCTTTTACAGGTATGGCGAGTCAGCTGGAATGTCACAGGGACTGTGCTTTCCTCCTCAGGGGATGATGGATGTGTCAGGTTATGGAAAGGTATTGACTGTCTTTACACTGTAGAGATAATATAGCTCATATGACTCTTTCATAAGATGGCTATTGAAGGATTAAAAATTGCTCCCCATCTTGACTCATGTACAGACATACAAACTCTTACTCAATTGTATATAAAGTATTTTGTCACTTTTTAACATTTTCATGAGAGCATTGTGTATTGTTTTTTTTAATTCAGTTTTGTTCAGGTGAAATATAAATGCATAGCCCCTCCCTTCCGTTTTTACTTCTCATGGTATTTTATGCATCATCCTTCTTCCACCGATCATAACCAGTATGATGAGAAGAGAGGCTGTTCCTCCCTCATAAATTAATTCAATCAGAGCTCTGTGAAAACTTACAAATGATTTAAGTGCAATAATGCTTTTTGATCAGACTTTAAAAGCAATAGGATTACTTTATCTTGGAAATTATTATCAAGGCATGAACAGACTTCTCTAATTAAAGACATTGTAGTACATGTACCATCATAAATGTAACATTGTTTTTCAAAGTGGATGTTGGGGGGGGGGATTGAGAAGCCAAAAAAATGCCTAAACAAAGTTTTCACAAGCTTAAAAAACCCACAGAAACAAAAAGAACAAAAACTTAACAAAACCAGTAGAAAAAAACTTTTGTGTATATGTATGGAAGGAAGGGGGGGGGGGGGGGATTGCATGCCTGCCATTTCTTGAAAATCAGAAGAAATCCTAAATGGCATTCCTTTAAAAAAAAATTCTTGATTGAATGAATAACTTCAATACTAGAGTAACAATAATTTTGTTATAATTTTTTAATGGCTACTTGCAGCAAACTATCTTGGAAGGTGGAAATGTATATCCACACTCAAAGGAGATCCCTCTCAGAATCGCTTTGACAGAAATCTAAGTGCCAACCCCTCACAGATCCCCATCGATGGTGTAAGGTACATACAACAAGGGCCTATGCAAAATGCTAACCAAGTGGTCTGGCACTGAGGCTCCTTAAAGGAAGATTTATTTGTAAAAAAAGATCTAACCTATTGAGATTGCAGTCAATTTTATAATTTGACCATCATTAAGGTTGTGAAAAGTGAATTGGTTTTTTCAAGATGAAATGATCAATGTTGATACATGCAAGAAAATGTGATACAAAGTAGACTTTGACTTTGTGCTTGGTTGTTGATAACGGATTTATATTGTGTTCAGCCAGCAGAGCAGTGAAGACTTAATGAGGATGAATATAAAACGGAACTCGGGGTGGCCATCATTTAACACCAAGAAGGACCAGGGAAAAACATACTACTGACAGTGATCAGCTGGATAGGAATTGAAATATATACCACATCCAAAACATACTAGTCTTACAATGTATGATATATGTTGTCAATAATGGATCTAACATTCCAGTAAAATTATGTTTTATTTTGTGGAGAAAAGATTACAGTGATCTAGTCCATCAGGGCTCCATTGTGAATTACATGTTACCATTGTTAAGTCAAATGCTTTGCTGACTATTTATGCAGTTGAATGGAAAGATAAGAAAATTATAAAATGGAAAAGAATGTCAAAAGCAAATCAAGTGAAGATTTATGAATAAGATTGAATTAGTACCCATTGTCTTCCCATGATGCATGCAAATTTTTGCAAATGCTTTGAACTCTTATATGTTGCTGTTGTGTTTTGTAATGTGAAACATAAATCAATGCAGGCAAGTCTTTTGTGTAGAATTTGAGAAACAGAATGCTAGTATGTGTACTTGTATTGATTTCAGATGCTGACCAATTGTTTGCAATGAAAATGTTCTTCTTTTTTTATCTTAGATGAAATTTGCCATTTGTCCAAATTATGCAGAATTTAATTATTAGGAGAGTCTGTCATTTGTATGGGCATAAGAAATGTTACAAAATATTAAATTTATAATACTGAAGTTGTGAGTTGTGATGTAATTAAAGTGAACAATATTTATATGTAACACTTCAAAACGATGTGGTCTGTAATTCTGTTTGACATTTTTTTTCTTCTTACCCAGTGTCACAGTGATTCTGGAAAATGATAAAATTTAAAACCTTATACTGCAAGGAACAGGGAAAAATGAGTGTATTATAGACTATTATAGTAGTAAGTTTTAGTAAAGATAGTGATACTGATCAGTTCAAAACAATGGCTCAGTAGAACACCATACATGTAAGCAGAGTTAGCAGACCCAGGGAATGATAGAATTCAAGTATGTTTCATGCAATGCAAAATGTTATCAATATAAAGTTTAAAATTTGACAGTTAAATCTTCCTTATAATCTTTATAAATGGTAAATGTTCAAAATTATTTGTTCACCAACATGCTTGGTGGACTAGAGAACATGAGTATCTTGCTACTATAAATCAGAACTTTTGAATAGAAAGTCAGCTTTTGTTTTTCTTAAATACATCACACTGACCAATGGTCTCTGTTCTGATCAATCACTTTGTCAAAAATTAGTAAAGCTTTATAAAAAGAGAAAATCCAAGCTTACACTTTACTAGATATCAGAGACATAAATAATTTTTTTTTGGCATTCTGTGGAGATTTTTTAATTGCATGTATTAAATTAGGCTATTTCTATTTTTTTATTTTGCCACTTTCAGTGGTTGATAGGGCTAATACAGCAAGACCAATTGACGTCTTACTTCAAGTCAGTTGTTAAATGCTGAAGAGATCTACTTCGACTTGGAAACTAGTGGACTCGGTAAGAACCTAAATGGGTTTTGTACGTCTTGTCAATGCTGATGATTATGGCCCTCTTCCAGTATTTCTTCTGTATCCATTTTGAAGGAATAAACCCAACATTTTGTATACAGCAAGAAAATTTCTAATCTGTTTGTCACAAAAACCACCAGGAAGTGTTTATCACAGGATATTTTCAAGTAAAAATATCAGAAAATCAAAATTAACAAGAGGCCCATGGACCACATCGCTCACCTGAGCACACTGGCAAGGCAGAAGCACAAATCAGTTCAGTATTGAAAAGATTGAGGGGGGGGGGGGTCAATATAACAAATGGCTTTGTTGTACTTGAGATGATTTTTAAAAAAATTTCCCATATATTCCTTTGTAAAAATTTGATCCCCCATTGTGGCTCCTCCCTATCCCAGGGGTCATCATTTGAACAAACTTGAATCTACACTACCTGTAAATCCATGTAAATATGACTCATCATGGCTTTGCTGTTCTTGAGAAGAAGATTTTTAAAGATTTTTCCTATATATTTCTATGTAAAACTTTGATCCTCCATTGTGGCCCCGCCCTACCCCCGGGGGGTCATGATTTGAACAAACTTGAATCTACACTACCTGAGGATGCTTCCATATAAATATGACTCATCATGGCTTTGCTGTTCTTGAGAAGAAGATTTTTAAAGGTTTTTCCTATATATTTCTATGTAAAACTTTGATCCTCCACTGTGGCCCCACCCTACCCCCGGGGGTCATGATTTGAACAAACTTGAATCTACACTACCTGAGGATGCTTCCACATGAGTTTCATCTTCCCTGGCTTTGTGGTTCTTGAGAAGAAGATTTTTAAAAGATGCTATTAATTTTTCACTAATTCTTTATTATCTCCCCTTGAAAGAGGGCGTGGCCCTTCATTTGAACAAACTTGAATCCCCTTCACCCAAGGATACTTTGTGGCAAGTTTGGTTGAAATTGGCCCAGTGGTTCTTGAGAAGAAGTCGAAAATGTGAAAAGTTTACAGACGGACAGACAGACGGACTACAGACAAAATGTGATCAGAAAAGCTCACTTGAGCCTTCGGCTCAGGTGAGCTAAAAATTGCTAGTTTTGTAATGTTTTGATTCCATGATTAAAAACACAGCTAGCACTACTATTGTGGTTGACGATGTCCATTATTGTGAATTGAATTCAATAATGGCTAAATGGTTGTAATGTGAGTAATAGCTTACGATGTTGGTTTTATACTCATCTTGTTATTGGATGAAATTCAAGTGGTGAGAATTTCAAATTGTGACTCTGGGTGTGCGTGCTAACTCATAGTGCCGTGGAAATATGAATATGAAAAATTCCATTTGGCATTTCTATCTCATACTTGCTACTAAGATATTAAGTGACAGGAGGAAGATATGTAAATAATTATAAAATCAAAGGATCAAGGTCTTTCAAGACCTGAATACATGCTGAAATGGATTTCACCAGAATGGTTTCTCCTTCGTATGACTTGAATAATCTATGACATAACATTTAACATATATATTGTTCAATGTGCTTTCTTCAGCTGTTCTTCCTGCTTTCAAGACTAATTGACGTACTTGTATATAAACGTAGGAAATACGAAATTTGATAGTGTGGATATATCAAATTTCTTGGATTCGATATCAGTTTTTATATAATAATCGTGTCTGTCAATGATATTGAGGAAGAACTGTTCATTATTTCATGTTTTGTATGAAATTACAGATGATGTAAAAAAAAAAAGTATCCGTTTGTTTAACGAAGTATTCAAATGATTCCATTTATCATACAATTGCATTTACATGTATATTTATCGATGTATGTGTTGTTTCTTACATTAGGTTATTATATTATTGAATAATTCCTAACTCTTTACGCATTAATGCAACGAGTTTGTATCATTTAATAATTGAATCATATAATGAAACAATTATTGTTTATTTTTCAGTCAATACGACGATTTAGCCACCTTCAAAGTACAATATTTACCTCGCCCTTAGGGTTTAGTGAATATTGTACTCCTCAGGTGGCTAAATCATCGTATTGACCTCAAAAACAGCAGAAATTGTATAATTGTAACAATCGGAGTGATGTTGAACACTTCATGGCGATGGCAGCCATTATTGTATCTATCAAATATCTATTTCATCCATTTTAAATATTGTAACCGGAAAAAAAATAGTCTCTGGTGGTGTTGCTAGGCATAGAGATCGTTTTTGTTAATATTGCATTCTATATGACCACAGTTGACAACAAATATTGTAATAAACAGATAGATGACAAAATAATTCATAAGCAATTCAAGGGTCAACATAGCTATGTAACAAAGCACAGTATACTATCAGTCAACCATGGAGATAATAATACGCATTATATTGGAGCTTGGGAATACGTTAATATTAAAATCCATGCAGTGTGGAGTTACGTTCAACACGTACATGGCCGTAGGTACCGGGGGTGGGGGGGGGGGGCACGGGGCTATAGAAAACAGCTACTATATGCTTATGCCCCCAATAATAACATTTGATGACATTTTTTGTATGTCAAGGAATTTTTGAATTTCGGTAGTGCCCCCCAAACTGAAAATGTTTCGTTGTGCCCCCCCCCCCAAACTGAAATTGCTCACTGGCCTGTTCAAGACAAAAAAATGTTATACTCGGCACGCTCAGACTGGTTTATTTTCATTTTTGTGCTGTGCGTTTCACCAGGGACCTATATACTAAGTTAGTATATAGGTCCCTGGTTTCACTGCTTTAATATTGTGTATTGAAAAATTAATCACTGCCATAAGATTGCTTGGGTCAAGGATTCATAGGTCCGTGAACTTGTCATTGGTCCAGGGTCAGTCACTGCAAATTACTGACAATGGCTTACAATTATCCTTGATCGTGACGCATTCTCTTGTCATACGTAAACTTTATATAGCTAATATGAGTTTTTGAACCTAAAAATTTATTGTCTAGACAATAATTCTACTGGCACTGGTCAATTCCTGCGACAATGACCTGGTAGATAATCATGGCAAATCATGTAGTTGTAAGCTATACCTTTGCCTCAATCATTACAATTGGAATGAGCAAATATCTAAAAGGAACAATAACATCATTATTATGAATAGATCACTGATTCAGTCAAACAAATATCTAATTCGTACGAACGACTGATTTGTCCAAATAAATATTTAGTGTAATTGTCCGAACGAATATCAAACAGATGGAACTCAATACCTTAGAACAACTGAAACCTTGAACATCATAGAATCCCTAGTTAAACAAGAGGCAAATGGGTCTTACAAATCACCTACGTGCAATATGCATTTATTTTTTCCGGGGGGGGGGGGGTCTTTTAAACAATAGTATTGTTCCGACAAAATTATTCCCAGTGAGGACCTAATACTTGGACATGGTACAGACAAAAATTGACACGCATTCTATCCAACAGCTGGGTGAATTTGGAAAAAATATTGACCGGTATAATGGAAATTTTGATCTGGGTTGAAATGTGACCCGAGGGGTCTTCTTTCTTAACTTCGGAAAATTGAGATCAACATTGTGGAATTTAGGCCTAGCCCATTGGATATTGAGTCGCATTGTGGAATTTTTATCATCAAAGCGGGTCTAAATTCAGCAGGATTGACATCTTCACAATGTCTTGTAACAAGAGGAACGACATCACAAAACCTTGACATTGTGAAGATGGATCGACAATATTCACAGTTATGATTCATTTATTTAAAATGATATAATTTTTGAGTAATATTTCACTTAATGCGAGCTCATCTGAGTTTTATGACCCTGGAGGCCGAATTTCTAAACCTTACAAAAACCAGAAGTCTCTGATGAGACTGTAGCTCTACTGGTCTGTACGTATAACAAAAGAAAAGTAGCACTTGGATTTGAAACTTTGCAACATGCAACAATAAATAGAATTATGTATCTAAATGTAGTCTACTTCTGTGCCAAGTTATATTGGAATCAAACGAAAACTGTAGGAGGAGTAGCGTTTTGAAAGTATTTCACGGAAATTTCTATTTTTAGTAACCATGACAACACCATCCACCGAAATAAAAAAAAAAAACACAGAAATACATATTATGTATTGTAGTGTGCCAAATTAGACTGAAATCAGACCAAAATTGTAGGAGGAGTAACGTTTTATGGGAGTTTCACAAAAATTTCTATTTTAAGTAACCATGGCAACACT